GTTCCTAAATAAACAGAATATCCTAAAACTGACCTGCATAAGATAGGATCTCCTGCCCAATCGGCATCTAATTATCAATAAAGGAAGCAACACCCACATCTATATGATTTCCGCAATATGTGATCTCATGATTATAGTACCTTACATATATCAGACTATACGTTTAAAGGATTCCAAGAGCATCATCAATTAATTATCCTTCACCTTGGTCAAGCACTGCGAGTGTAACCGATGGTTTGCAATTCAACATATAATACCGCTTTAGAAATTTAGTGCATATATATACTAAGAAGATTGAATTTTGACCCAAGTCCAATCCACTTCTATCCCCAAAAAATATCTCAACTCTCCCAGTATTTCATTTGAATCTCATCATGGAGAAATCTCTTAATATTTGCAATAACGTCTGGAGAATTTCTTGTGATTATAATATCATCCACATATAAAAGAACGACCACAATACCTTTAGCACTCTTGTGAATAAATAGGGAGTGATTTATTTTGTACACCCATTTGCTCCCTACAACATTCTTTGCACTGGCCTCTTCACAATTTCCCATGTGTTAATAAAAAAATATTGCCTTTAGTTCTTTGGTCATTGCTTCAAACCACTTTGGATAACTTTTCAAAATATGGAAAGTTCCTTTTGTTAAAAGCTTCATAAATAGACACTTGTTAGTCATTTGTAAAGCTCCATAACTTATCCATAGGTCTATAAGGTGGCAAATACGAGTAGACCCTCAGACATTTTGACTAGCTGCAGTAGCCCCACTATCTTCTCCCTGTCTCTCCAATTAGTCAACCCAATTACAAGAATGCTGCCCTTCTAGCACACATTTGGAACCAGCCTGCTCCCCCGTATATTCACTAGGAGCACATCTAAGCATAACCAGGTCTTCATTTTGTATTATGCAACCCTGCTGATTATCTTGAACTATACCCTCGTTGGCCTCGTTTTCATCTTGCTGTCAAATTTTTTTACGTGGATTTCACATCCTCATTTCTCCAAAGGACCATTTCTTAAGATAAGAACACGTTTAAGTCTATGGCTGTAAGAGCAATAGCCTTTATAAATTTTAACCATCTTCATATCCAACAAAAATACAGGCTTCCGCTTTAGGAGGAAGTTTCTTCCTTTGACTTTTATCCAAATGAAAAACAATCATGGCATCTGAATGATCGAAGAACTGACAAATCTACATGCTTAACATAAGACATATCATAAGGAGGTCAGTCATTCAAAACATTGGGGAGCAATCTACTACCCCACTGGAGAACATGAAGGAAAGGGTAACCTTGCCAATATGGCGGAAGCTTTAGTTCCGCTACTCCAATTTCCTTGTGACGTATGTGAACACAAAATTTCTGGCTCCATCCCGTTATTCTTTAAGTAGTTCTTAAATGCATGAGATAAGAACTCACCTCCCCCATCACTATGAAAGAGCAACATTGGTCTACAAAAACGGTTCTCAACAAAATATTTAAATTGTACAAATCTTTCAAATACTTGAGATTTTTCCTTGAGGAAATAAATCCAAGTATACCAAGAAAAATCATCCACAAAGATCACATAATATTTGGAATAAGAAGCAGCAGCAAATGGTGCAAGTCCCCCACAAATCAGAATGAATTAATTCAAAAGGCGGAGAAGCTCTTTTATTGGATTGGAAAAAAAGGGAATTTGAGAATGTTTAACCTACCAACTGGCTCATGACAGCAATGATCTAGATGGTGATGCCAAACATTGGCATGCTCATTTATCTGAAATTAAGAGACTAACAACGGGAACTTCCTCAATTCATCATTCAAGATAAATACAAGTCCTTGTCGAATCCCCACAACGAATATTGCCCCGGACATTGGATCCTTGAAAAAAACAGAGGATGGTGTAAAAACAAAGTTTGACTTAATTTCTAGAGTCGACCGAGAAACAGAACTGCAGGTATGCTTGATTTTAGGGACTAGAAACACATTATTCAATAGAACAGACCTTTTGAACAATTTACAAGGACATTTCCTACATGTGTGATAGGGAATGAGGACCCATTACAGAACCACTACCAGAATAAAAGGGATAAGAGTCCAAAATTGACCAGGAACAACTGCAACATGTTAGCTGCTCCATTTTCAACAATCCATGTTTAATCACTCAATGAAGATAATGCCATGGCTTCCATTTATGTGTTCAGGGCAGCAACTTTGTCTTCATTATCAATTAAGCTGTGTCCCTGTGTCCCTTCTGATTGTACCAATAGTAACGGTCCACTGCAATATAATTCCAGCGACCACAAATTTGACCGGCCATCCCGCTATACCTAGGATTTGCATTCTATGGATAGTAATTTGGCACAGGATGAAGGCTACACCTCTGATTAGGTGGAAATGTGCGAAATCAGCCAACTCCTCCACAACCCCTATTCCCATGACACTATCCACTTCCACCTTGTCCACCATTAAACATCACAGGGTTGCTAGCCATGACAAGCATGTCATGAGAATCTTGATTCTGAGCAAGTTTCAGTGTACGTAGGCTACAGAAGAGAGACTTATCATGTAGTAACAATGGCCACAGATCCAAAAAAACATAGGAAATCGTCGTTTAACAGTGATTGAGGTAGAGGACATTTTGTATTAATCCCTCAGGCTAACAAGGACATAGTACATTTTATCACTGACATGTCGTTGGATCATGGCAAACTGATTGCAAAGTCCTTTAATTATCTCATAATATTCTATAATCGTCATCTTTTCTCTCTTGCATTACTGAAGTGCAAGCTTCAAGTGCATGACATGTGCTTCTTACTTGAGGTTCATACCTGTCTTATTAAAGTATATATATTTGCATTGTACAATTATGCCCTGACTATGATGACTATGAATTCATGAAACAAAACAAAATATAAAATGACTACAGTATAGATAATACATTAATTACATTTAGTACATACAATTAACAATTAACATCCGACAAGATTGGATTGATAGACATCTGAATACTTTATCAATAAAAAAAATTTCAAAAAAAAAAACAATTCATACTTAAGTTCATGCATAAACGTAAACAAAACCTATTGTGCAGTACTAGAATTACAAAGTACAGTCAAAATCCTAATCAATGTTGCTCTAGCATGCTAATGGCCATGAATCACTCGATCAGCAGCAAAGCTTCTGAGGTCTTCACTACAAAACAGCAAACCTCCTGCCAAGCTACCGAAGAAAAAGTCACAAACTAAAGACCCACCATGCAGCAGACAATGTTACCTTATAAACCAATCAATAATTTTTTCCCATGTGGAAACAGCCTTTTGTTAAGAACAACAAATAATAGATCATCATCATCAAAGCTTTTTCCCAACTATTTGGGATCAGCTATACGAATCCTAGTCCACCATTCTGCTCTATCAAGGGCCGTACCCTTAGTGAGGCTATAAGTCCCAATATCTTTTTTCACTACTTCTAACCATGTCCTTTTGAGCCTACCTCTTGCCCTTTTTGAGCCATCCACTTGAATCAGCTCGCACCTCCTAACTGGTGTGGGTCTGGCTGCACATAGCCAGCCCACCAAGTCTACTTTCTCTCATATTATCGCCTATTGGAGCCACACTTAAGTTATGTCTAATGTAATCATTTTGTATTCTATCTCTTCTTGTCTTGCCACTCATCCATCTCCACATCCTCATCTCAACTATGCTCATCCTATGAGTATGTTGTTTTTTAAACCCCCAACATTCCGCCCCATAAAGCAAAGCTGGTCTCACAGTCCAATACAACTTCTCCTTCAACTTCATTGGTATTGGACGATCATGTAAAACTCCGGTTGCACATCTCCACTTCACCCACCCAGCTCTAATTATATGTGAGACATCTTCCTCAATCTCTCCATTTTCCTGGATTATTGATGCAAGCTATCGAAAGTGCACTCCTTTTGGTATTTCTTGACCGTCAATCTTAACTACTCCCTCATCTCTTGTCAACAATGTAAATCAAAGGTTAAAATATGAGAAAAAACACAAAAAACATGATATCCAGAATTGCATTCTTCTGTCCTCCAAATTGTACTTCCCAATACCAGATATAAAAACAATGAAGTCGTCCTCCTTACCTACCTAAGGAACAATCAAATAACCAAATCTTCAATGTACACAACTAGAAAGGAACTCTGACCCTAAGGTGATTCCATTACACTACTACACCCCATTCTATTGCAACACAGCACTCCATTTTCTATTATGTGAGTGCGCACAGACACACAAGGGCACATACAGATTGTGGCCAGTAATTACCTTCACTATCAGCATCTCTATACATGTGTGAGTTCAAATACACAAAGAGAGGTTCAGCCACAAATGATCAGATTACCTTCAGTAACATCCTAAAGTAAAGATTTGTGTTCCTTTTTCCCCATTATAATATTACTTTTTATAAATGCTTCCTTAATATTCAAATAGACAGGATTTGCCTTGCACAATGAATCTATCCTTTTCTTAAGTGATGTAATTGGATATATTGCTGCAACAGAACTGCATAAAGAAGTATTCATCAAGATGAAGGAAAATAACATCCTCTTCATGTCTAAAGATTATTCTCAAACTTACAGAATCTTCTATTCCAAGGCCCCAAACATGAAGCCACAAAATATGAATCGGCCCATATGTATCTTTGTACTAAGAAGAATAAATTTGAGGGCTTAACGAACTGCATAGTTCTGTAGACAAGGGACAATTCACAACATTTCTGCGCTCATGATGTATTATATCAAAGCAAACAGATAACTGCAGGTACATATTACTGCTGTTTTACAAGGGTTGATAACAGCAATTATATTTCAGTTCCACACAAAGGGAAAAGAAGAAAGAAAGTAAAAGGCCATAAATTACTCCATCAAGTGGAATTATAACTCACATATTGTAGAACTAAAATAATCTTAAAGAATTGATTTAAGACAAGAAAAAAAGACGGAAACAACAATTTAAAAAAAGAAACTAGAGAAACAATCTTACCTGATCCAATGCAGAAGCAAAAACGTCCAATACATGACCCTGGCTCACAAGTTGCTTAGCGAGATTCTCATAAAATTTAACCGCTTTATGAAAATGCGGAGCAGCATCCTTATCAAGATCTTTATGAGAACGTGCTGGTTCAGATAAATCTTTGGACACGATCTGCAAAGATCCAGCTACATGAGAACTGAAATACAATTCAAGACTAGCAGCCAAAAGCAAAAAAACAAGAAAGCAATGGCAAACCAACATTGAGAACCTTTTCATGTAACATCATCGGGCTACCATCTTCAGAAAAAACTAAAATGAGAAATAACTGACCAAAGATTCTTATAGTTTCAGATCAACCATGATTCATGTTTTCTTTTCCCCAGGTAAGTTGCTAATACACACATTTCCAACACGAGAAATGCTGTAAGGTGGACAATGATTCATCATCAAATGCTCATATTCAATAAAAGATAAATTAACTGACATGAAAGATGTATATTGAGAAAGCTATGGAATTTCAAGTGGTTAACACGAAGAATAGATTTTATACTATTTTCATGACATCTAACTCTAGGACAACAAATGAACCCCAAAAATCATGTATGTTGTCATGGATTACACAAGGTATCCTTCTCGACCAATACTGGTTTTGTATCTCAAAATGCCAAAAATTATATATTGTAGTGCTGACCCTCACATAATAGCATAGAAAACATAATTTCAATTCAAAGGATTTGTGAAGGAGTATGCGAAAGAAGTGCCAGGAGAGACAATAGACATTAGATAACCTGACCATCAAGGATCACTGACATGGACAAATCAAGGATGAATCCTGATTTGGGTGCAGATAAGATGATTGTTTCTAACCCAATCAAAGGCGACCAGGATATTTACGCAAGAAGTAAAAGGATAAGCGTATGTGTGCCATGCTCTGTCGGTCTTCAAGACTAAATACGTCAGAGAGATTAGGGGAAAAGTGTTTACTGTTCTATAGTAGTATAGTCAAGGAATGGGATTGGTGATTTCAACAGTTTGGGGGGTATAATGTTTCTGTTAGACCTAAAATAGACAAGAAACAGAACAAGATGCCAGGACAAAGGCAACAGTAAGTCCAGAGGGTTATCTTAACAAGTTCCATAATGACATTAGGGACATACAGCCCATTGCAATTTCCCCGAAGCCCAGATTTCCTACACAAGTGACACTCTCAAAAGGTATTGATAATGACCAATACAAATTTTTCTAATTGGCCACCACTGATTCTCTGGCTCCCACTCTACACAAATTTAGATGCTAAGGATGGCTAGACGTGGGTAGATGACTGAGATAAGCCAAAGAAGATTACACCAGATGATACTAATGCGAATGAGCAATCTTCAGCAGACCTCCCTCTGAACCATACGTACGTGGGTCTGCAGTTGTATGCACGGACGGCATTATGAGGGATCATAAAAATCTAACAGCAGGATTCTCAGCCAAGCTAACATCAAAATTGTATAAATAGAATCAGAAACACCTCATTTGATCTTGTCTTCCAGAATATGTGTTTTGACTTATTGGGATGGCATCCACCACATATCTATTTTTGGCTTCGATGAAAAGAATTCTCAGTATGCTATCTATCCTTTCTTTGGGCTTTATAGAAACAATGTACCCTGATTCTCCATGCAGCCACTTGACAAATACATCCAAAACAAAAAGCTACAAAAACGGTTGTGATTCTAACAAATAAAACCGTGTGGAATGCTTATAAACATCATGGACATAGTGGATAGCAACAAATACAGAAACGGCAGAAAAATAAACAAAACTTGTCAAAATGGCTCATTTTACCACTGGGTCACATGGCCATGGGATTCAACAAACTGTATATCTAGAGAGCAGTTTTAGAGATCCAATATGGGCCCTTTGGTTGCTACAAGCTCAGAGAGTATCATTTCAGACCAACCCATAGGCCTTTCCTCTGGTTATTCATATATGGTTCTATTTCGATCCTACAGACTCCCAAGGACCAAAGGGCCTTTTGTCAATCACAATGTCATCTGTTTTCTTTTCTTTTTTAAAAAAAACAGAAATATTCAAAATGTCGTCGGCTACCTAGTATTCACCATTTTATAACAGACAAACCTGGACAATTAATACGCCTACTGTAAACTCTCAAGTTGTCTCTTTCAGATTTTCTTTCCATCTGGTTATTGCCCAGCAACATTTACCACGGATCATAAACCATTGCTTCATAAACTCGCAAAAACCTATCATCTGTTCTCCATGCTCATCTGCTTACACATCACAGAGACTGTGTTTATGGTTTCTCACAAGAAGAAGATTCCTGCCACAGAGCAAATTTTTCATACACTCAGAGTTTCCTTATTCATGATTCCTGAGCCTACTCAGCTCATGGTCGATTGGATCACTGCTCACACCCAATTGTCAAATGGATAACCACCAATGTGTTTTATACACCAACAGAAACCATATCACACTTTTCTAGAACAATATTCTTCACACCAAAATTTTTCTTCATCCTTAGCTACATCATGTATATCTAGACATCATCGATACTTAACTTTGCAAGATGACCCCACTTCAAGCCAGTGGATATGGTGGCCTTACACAGGAAAACCTAAAGGCCGGTAATACAATCAAGTTTCAGATGTATAATTACTCAAATAAACTCACTCATCAGATCAGAGGATGTTGACTAAGCACCATTATAAGTTTATAACATGATCTAAACAAATGAAAAATGTTTGAACATGTGCCAGCATACAGGTAAAATGTGTTAATTACATAGGTCTTAGTAATCTTCTTGACTTTGAACACAACATCAATTGTGTGGTTCCATCCAAGCATGCATACTTGGTTGCATATCAAACACAGCAAGATATCCGCACATGAAACAGCCTCAAATGACCAGAGAAATCAGGAATATAATATAAAAAGAAAAAAATTCAAGCATAAATACATATACATACCAGAAGAATGCCAGCTCAAAAGCCTTTTTTCTTTTTCTTTTTTTTTGGATTGAGATCAATAGCTTCCTTTTCTACTTAAAAATATTTCAATAACATTAAAAGCAAGTTATAGCCTACAAAATAAAGTATTGTGAGTCCAGTTTCATAACAATTCCACCACCACATCAATCATCTCATTCGGCAACTAAAAGGAAGGAGGTTGGGGGGTTTAGACTCTCACTAAGCTCCTAAACCATTGCCTGGAGCCAAAGCCCTAGAACTTACTCAGGTATTTGGAACCAGCCCCACTGGAATCATCAAACTCAATTTTGATGGTGATGGTGTAGTTTAGGGGGTAACCTGTCCTGCCGGTATTGGTGGTGTTTTTGCAATTAAAAGGGGTGAAAAACAAACTTTCATTCTAGGGACCATTGATTTTACATACGCTACAGAGGCTAACTGGTCTGACTGTGTAATAAGCTGACACACTGCATAAAAAGGAAGAACAGCCAACTCAATCACCATATTTGAGAGGAGTCTAGAACATCAAAAACCCAGGGTCTATAGAGAAGTTTTGTGCAACATTTTTGGATTTTAATACTTAGTGTAGTCTGTCTATTACACCTTTCATGTTCTGCTCAGTTGTGCATAGTTCTCATAAATGCTTCTTAGGCAGAAACACAATTTTTATAATTTTTTACAGTAGATGAAAATGGAAACAATGAAAACAGGTAATATAAATAATATTGATAATAATAATAACAATAATCATCTCATGAGCCTGACAACTTGGAGCATACAACATTTGCAAGCGAGAACATAGAAAGACACTTTACAAATAAAGAAAAATGTCACGTTATGTTCATGCTTACATCCTTCATATACTTAATACTCCCCACGCTCTCTCAATCTAGAATTGAACCATGAATAAAATTCTATGGCCTAGCAGGGAGGATAACCTTGCTCGGAATCTAGAAGGCAATTTTTTGGACTAGCTAGATTTCAACTTGTGTTACATTTGTACATAGAGAGGCAAGTCAATCAGATGGTTTAACAAGCTCTCCAAAATGAGCTCCTAGGTCGCCAAAGAAGTTTTTTTTAGGCTTTTTCCATTACAATAAAAATTCCAGACCTGCAAGTGCTGTGTTTGGTTATTTTTATCCCGATAACAGCATAAATAAAAAACAGGTAAATGAAAACATGTAGGCATCACGCATCCTCATGAATGATTTTTCCCTTTCTTTTTTTTTTTTTTTTGGGGAGGGAGGGGGGGCGGGTGTTAGTTGCATACATGCCAATTTCATTGTATCTCAAAGCATATGTTTGAATTTTTCTAATTATTCCAAGGCTCTATCCTAGTCTTCTAACAATTTGAAGTTGTAAATATGTAAATAAGCAGCAAGTGTTTTTTCAATTCACATGTTTACAGAGTCGGACACCAATGCAAGTATCAAATAGAAAGAATAGACATTTTGCTTAAGGAGTAGATGAACCTAACAATGCAAAAGAAAGATAAATGGAAAGAAAAAGGAACAAGAGAAGTAAGCTGACAGTTCCTGGGCCTTCAGTACATGGACCTCCAACTAAAGCCAGGATACGGGCTCCTGTACCAGGCAAGCAAGCTCCAAGAAGACCAGCTGCAACACTTAGGGCCACACCAGTGCAGCGCATGGCCCTATTGCTTGGAGGCACAGGCCACTGATCTCTCTGCAACTCATCAAGGAGCTGCCACAAATGGAAGAAAATACCAAATTAAACTCCACTGTAAATGGGCATCAGTAATTTTTTTCTTCTCTCCTTTTATCAAATAGAATAAACAGGTATCAATTTGCATTCGATTTTGCAATAGATAAATTCATTCATTAAAATCAAGACATAACATAGTAAATATAGCCCATTTCCAATGGTAAACTCATTCTTTTCATGAATAACTATAAACACAATTAAAATAATAATACTAACCAAGTGTCGATCATAAAAACTCAACCCACAGTACGATAAATTTAACAAACCAATAAACTCAGTCAAACCTTAGTTCATTCTCATAAAATTCATAGCACAGAACCCGAGAGAAAATTCAATCTTTCTCATAAAAAACAAATGAGATTCACTGACAAAAGAGAGGCAGAGGGAGAGAGTAACAAAGAACCCCAAAATACACCCATTATTTTCAAATTTAAATACAAATTCATTCAAAAGGAAAATAGACGGTTCGCTGCTTACAGAATTAAGTGTGTACTCGCAGTCTGACGCAGACAACAAGAAGCGGTTGATAACCCCGGCAGTGAGCCCATTCTGCACACCGCCACCCCCACCTTTCGCAAACCCCGACCTCTGCCCTGAAAGCCCTAACTGATCCAAGATCTGCTCCTTAGAGATCTCCTTTGACCCCCTAAACACATACGTCTTGAACAGATCCGGGAACCCCAGTTCATGCACATGCACCTGCGTCCCATATGTCACGAACCCCACCAGAGCGTGCTCCGGCAAAAGCCCTATTGCCTGCCTCATAGCGGACTTCACATACCCGAGTTCTTCCTCGATGATACAAGTATCGAGCACAAAGAGAAAAACTGGAGGCGGCGCGGCATTAGAAGGAAGAGAGTACTCGATGACTGAATATTGGGGGAAGAGCTCTGCTGGAACATTGGTTTCGCTGATGCCTTCATAATGGATAGGGAAATGGGTGCGCTGGAAGCAGAAAGGACAGACCCAGATCCTGGCGGCATAGTCAACACGACAGTGTGGATTGAGGACGCAGGAGCAAGATTTGCAGCGCAGAGGGGGGTAGGGGAGCACCGGTAGCTCAGGGAGGGACCGGATCGGGGATACCACTGTCGCCAGGGGGACCACGCACTTGCTGGCGTCCACCTTCGTCCGAGGCCACACGTTCCAGGACATGCGCACCCCCTCCACCGCCTCCATCTCCAAAAACTCAGACATTGTCTCCCCTTCTCTGGCCTTCGATCACAGCTTAAACCCTAGGAAGGAGAGGGGGGCCGATCACAAGTTAAACCTAAGGGAAGAAATAGGGGGAAGAAATAGGAGGAAGAAAGTGATGATGAACTGGATCTACTGATTCCCTGAAAAAATATTGTTGGCGATTGTAGAAAGGTGATCTTCGCTCTCCAGAAAATCAAACGCCTCTCAATAACCTAATTTTGCATGCCAGAGGAGCTTGAGAGAGAGACGATCTGTAGTGAGGGGCAATTGGATTGATCTCCCTCGAAAACTTCCCCTCAAAACTCTAATTTTGCAGGCAAGAGCTTGAAAGGGATTCTTCGCGCTACGAATAGATACTCGCCGATTCTCGGCTTTTGCCTGAATGCTCCAGCAGGAGCAGGAATAATAACCCGTAACACGGAACCGCCTGTTTATCCATAAATATCAACTACAGATGCATTATTTACCATTTTACGTGTGGGATTTGTATGCAATGATACTATTTATGTTTGGTGTACGGAAATCTCAACTATTTATAGCCATCCGAGATGAAATCTAAGGGTATGTAATAAAGTTTAAAAATAAAAAAAATTAAATTTTGAGTTTATTCGATGAAATAAATACAACTATCCAATTTCATATTCAATGATCAAGATTAAATATGACCATCTTGTACCTAAGGTAAACAGTCTCATTATATATTTTTCTTTCTACGTATTTGCTGCTATTCTAAACTGAGGAATGATCCAATTCAACAATTGCATCATATTATAATGCAATGACACTTCTAGAAAACCATATTTGTGGTATTTGTATAACCTCAAATTTTACACACACACTCTATTCATCTCAACAATCAATTCCCTCCAAAAAAAAAAGTTCAATTTGAACCTTAGATGGAGTCAAAATGAGTCCCCTCCGAAAACGAATCTAGACCATTCATTTTGTGAATTTCAAGATCTTAGCATTTATAACTTCAAAATCATTTTTATCTTTTTTAATATTGTTCATCTAATGATAATAAAGCCATTCAAAAAAATTGAAAATGAAAAAATTCTTTTAAGGCCTAGATCTAAGCATCTCACCAAAATGAACCGCCTATGTTAATTGAGCTAAAAAAATATTTTTTAAGTTGTGTTTTCAAATTTTTTTTTTTTTGTGATTGTTCATTAGAATTTAAAGAGTCTATATTTCAAAAGTTGGATCAAACAAATGGCCACAAGATGGCTTTTTAAGGTTGTTGCGTCATATTACTGTATAACGGTTGCATGAAATCATTGCTTTTCTAAAATTACGTGTCTTTTAATAGATATTTTAAAATTAAATTAAATAAAATATTAAATATGAAAATTATTTTGAAAGAGCTACAGCTCTGTGAAAATAAATAAAGTTCCATCAAAATTCTGGAAAAACTATAGTTTTAGTTTCAAAAAACTTTCAAATCGATCATCCTGATCGATACATTTTTTTTTTGAGGATCAACCTTGACCATTTTTTAGTATCAACCTTGACCATTAGGACACGTTTCGTTCGTGTGCAAATATTTACACAAGAAAAAAATTTATATATGTAAACATTTTGAATGAAAATATTTTACAAACTTTTTTTTTATTATGTTTGTTAACACGTTTAAAAAACATTGTGTAATGAATTACATATGCTTGATAATTTGTTTGGTATTTAAATATATTTTGTAAATATATTAAATATATATTATAAATATATTATATGACTTATATATGTATATATATATTAATAATATAAATATATAACATATAACATAATATAATATATAATATTCATAATATAAATATAAATATAAAATATAATGTATTTTATTCAAGGAAAGTTACATAAATATCCATTTTATGTTTTGTTATTATGAAAATACCTAAATGTTTCCGCTATTGCAGATATGTCTGTTCTTTCAACTTCATAACACATTTTTTAAAAAAAGATGAAATTACCTATTTTCTGTTTTTGAAATACCGAAAATGTCTGCATGGAAACCACCAATATGACAGTATCTTACGAGCATTTTTCTCAATATTTTAGGGTAATTTCTCTACCCAATACAACAGTATCCCGCGAACTTGAATATATTTGCTCCCAATCTCGTCATGATTGGTACATTTCTTACTCTTTCCTTATGTTGTTGATTAAATTTGATTGAATTAATATAATATTTTGTGTTTGTATTAATATTTGTTATGTATCTTTGGAGTGGATTTTTTTTGGGTAAATATTGGATTGAATCAATCATTGCATAATTGATTTATTTAGTAGCATACTATATTGATATATTACATACAACTCACATTTTATTAACTCTAAATTAGTTACATATATCCCAAATTTTGTGTACTTTATTTTATTGTTTGTCTATAATACGAATTTTGGTATTCATTTAATACAGTAGCATCGACGATGGTTACTAAGGGAGTGCAACTAGTATTTCGATACGGAGACCTTTTGAGATAAACCTAGATGACATACGTTTTTTTTTATAGAGGGGAAAATTTGAAGGTTACAAAATATAATAGAAATAGTTCCTTGGAGCATCTAAAAAAATAATTTTGAAAATTTAACATTGTGATATCCAAACAAGTTGACTATTATATACCACAATACGAGTTTATCTAGTGGCCTTGAATTGATTGACATAAGTAATGATATAAAATGTATAGTTTATGTTGGCAAGAGAGTCTTCGAGTTTTGTTGTATACATTGCATCTGTAATAGAGCCGGAGCGGAGTTTAATAGAATTCCAAACGGCAGAACCTATTGGTGATGGCTCATCTTCAAGGAATAGGTACATTTATAATTTACATTTTCATCTCTAATTTTAATTAAATCGTACATGTGCACAAACTGTTGCTTCAACTTATACTCTATCTTTTGTTAATAGTCAACGTAATGCAAGCTTGGCAGGGCAAAGAGGTTTCTAAGGAGATGGTAAATAGGTCACATGACCAACCATACAATGACATCTCCTTATAAATAGAGAAGCTTTAAAGAACCAACCCCATAACCAAAGTTCGCATCCACATTGATGAAGGCAGGTTCAAATGACTATTTATTGTTTTTCATACCTGCATCATGGGTTTTGTTAATGAATGCAAGCCTCTAATGGGTATTAATGGGACATTCTTAAAAGGAAACTATCAATACATATTATTGTGCGTCATAGCTGCAGATGCAAATAATGCGTCCTTCCTAATGGTATCTGCGTGTGATCGAGAAAGAGAACTACCAGAGTTAGCATTGGTTCTTGAGTATAGTGAGTGAATTATTGAATGAGCATGCCAATCTGCATGCATTGACAATTGCACCATATTGACAAACAAACTTATCAGAAGAATAGCAAAATGTTTTCCCACATGTTTTTTAGCATTCTGCATGTGACATTTAAGAAAAAACTTTAAGGGCTTTATGAAGAAGTCAGCAAATACCAAAATATGTCGATGTTGTTTGAAAAGGTTGTCTGCAAAACGACTATTGGTAAATTTGATAAAATAATGTTGGATATACAGTGTGCCGACCTAGAAGCATATGAGTGGATTAAGAATATTCATTCCAAATATTGAGCAAATAGTCATTTTTCAAGGGCTAGATACAATCATCTTACATAGAATATGGCCAAGTCATTCAACACATGGATTTTATCTGCTTAAGAGAAGTCGATCATTACAATGTGTGAAGAATTAATAGTACAATTGATGTGTAGGTTTGAAGAGAAGATGGAGTTAGTTAATAGTTGGAGTGACGTGCTAGTATTGAAAGCCCAATAATTACTCGACTTGCGAAAGAGGAAGGCAATATTTTTACACATAGTTATATCCACCATGGATACACAGTTCGAGATCCACTTTATAGCTTTACAGTGGAGAAGTTTGTTGTCAATTTAACTTAATGAATATGTCGTTGTAGGAAATGATAAATTTGTGGCATACCGTGTAACCATGCCATTGTGGCTATTAACTATATGCACTTGAATGTCATTGTATACTACAACTGGTATTTCGTAGTGGAATACTTTAAAAGGGTCTTCCAAACTCCCTTTGTGTTTGTCTCGGATAATATTGAGATGACTAATATGTTCATCAAGACAGTGTTGCCACCAAGGATGACATGTTTCCCGGTGGGCCAAAAAAGCGACAAAAATATTTGAGATTGAGCACTTCACCAGGGCTTTAAAGTGCAAGCAATGCGGCATAGTGAGTCATAATAAGAGAACCTGCAAAAAACTGATATGTCATTAAGAAATGAATAACAGGTTCTTAATGATGTATCAAATTATCATTTTGTATCGAATTATTATTTTGTATCGAATTATCATATTGGGTAATTAAGGTTTTGAATTAAGTAAGTTCTTGAATTATGTGTTGTCAACCTTGAAGCCATGTCAATGATTATGTAAGGTTATTTGCTGGTGTACACATTCTTAATTTTTTTTCCTTGTATAATTCCATGAAAAAGAAAATGTCAATTCACTTTTAATACAAAAGTCTATTATCTTCTTTTTTTCAAAAATCGAAAACTAAGTGCCAAATTCCAATAACTTGCTAGAAACCAACTATGATTTTCGGTTTATCAAAACCAAAAATATTGAATTTTTTATTTTTCAAATATCAAAAATATTGAATTTTTCGTTTTTCAAAAATAAAAAATGTCAATTTGAAAAACCAAAATTTAATATTTTGGTTTTTGAAAAACTGAAACTCAGTGCCAAACTCCCGTAACTTATTGGAAACCAACTATTGTTTTCGGTTTTTGAAAAACCAAAAACTCAATGCCAAACTCCAGTAACTTACTAGAAACCAACTGTGATTTTCGATTTTTCAAAAACTGAAAATGTGAATTTTTCGGTTTTTGAAAAACTGAAAACTAAGTGTCAAATTCCAACAACTTACTAGAAACCAACCATGGTTTTCGATTTTCAAAAACCAAAAATGTTGAATTTTCGATTTTTTAAAACCAAAAATGTCAATTTTTTGGTTTTTGAAAAATCAAAAACTAAGTGTCAACTTATTGGAAACCTACTAAGATTTTTGATTTTTGAAAAACTGAAAACTAAGTGTCAAATTAACCAACCATGATTTTAAATTTTTCCTAAACCGAAAATCTTTAATTTTCGATTTTCAAAAACTGAAAATGTTAAGCTTTCAGTTTTTGAAAATCCGAAAGCACAATATGTTTCATATGATCATATACTCTATTTATTCTATATGATGAATACATATCATCGGTTTCTGCACTCTAATGTGGTTTGGATATGTATTATTGTAGGTATGGTAGTTTTATATAATTAATAAGGTCATGTTTGCATATACAAAAAATTTTAATTGTAAAGAGTAAAACTTGACTAGTCAGGCCATACCAGTCCCTAAGACTCAACATGGTCAAATATAAATACTTGTGTTCAAAATGTGCAAAAATTAAATTCTTTTCTTCAATGGGTA